ATTTTTTTTTAAAAGTTTTCTCTTGTGGCAAGAAAAAAACAATTTTTTTTTTTTTTTTTTTTTTTTGTCCACCCCCCCCCCCCCCCCCCCCCCCCCCCCCCCCCCCTCATCAACACCCACACCCACCCCTTATGAGGCGTCATTTTTATTATAATAATCTGCAATAATAGTTATTGAACAACAGAAAGAAAGAAAATCAATCTTCATATTGTCTCTTCTTATCGAGCGATTATTATCTCAGTTTAAATAAATGTATTGATCTAGATAAATATTCAAAAAACAAACGAATAAAACACCGGACAGAAAATTGAAAGATTTGAAATTAAACTCAATAGATAAAAAAGTAAAAGAAACACTACAGGGAACATTCCTCGACTGATCTTTTAAGTAACAGCACTAGAAGAATGACATGAGAAAAACAACAATAATCAAGTGTTTTGTTTAATTTAGACTTTTTGGAATATACTAAAGGATTACATATCAATTATGAACAATGAAGAAAAACAAAAGTTTTCTAACGAAAACCAAGAACATAACCACGACCACCGAATACTTGACGATCACGATTATCAGTATTATCACTCGCATCCGATTCATGACGATGAATTGGTCCTGTGCCAAATCTACTAGTAGCAAATCGTTTACTCGGAAAATAACGATATCTGCAAATACAACAATAATATTTTATTAGTTATAAAAGATACTCACAGTAAACGAGGTGTCTGTAATAATTTTGCACCACCAAAATCTTGTGGATATTTAAAAACAAGGAAGTAATAAAGATGACCGATAATAATACCACATAAGTCCTCTCTATATCTAAATTAAATAATTCAAAATTCACTATAAAATAAAAAATTAACATACGTTCCGAGGATAATCCAATCGAACAACATGAGTGCCCATGGCAAATACATTGCTTTCAATTGTATACCAAACCAAAATGACATCACTACTTCTTTATTTAATTGACACCAAATATAAATAACACTCATAACCATACTATCCATCAACGTCTTTCAAAATAAATCAATTTACTTAAACTAAATCAAGAGATATTTACTTACCCATATTAGAAGAATAGAACCCGCAATGATAGTACATAGCCAAACAAATGCCAAACAAAATACATAATCAGCTGGTTTACCATCAAATGTACCTGTGCAAAGAAAAAAAGCTTGTCAGCACAGTCCTTTGGGGCTAAAATGTGGAACTCACATATCCCGTATAATCTAATACACAATTCGGTGTGACTGATTGCTAGGGCAAATGCATCCTTTCATCGGTTGCTATGGCAGAATTCGTACTCAGTAATCTCTAATGCTCCTTCCTCGGTTGTTGAGCAGTTGTAGAAAAGGGCTTTCACACCTGCTGATGGTTGCTACGAAAACGTATTCATTATCATATGAAACTCCTTCTCTCATTGCTGATAAAACTTGTACTCACCATTTTCTTCGAAAATATATGTGAGTTCCACATAAGTGAAACAGAAAGTAAGCAACGTTTTTTTTTTATATGGGATACATACTTGTTTCCAGACGTGTGCTATATTGATAAATAAAATACAGATTTATGAGATATCCAAAATCCATCCTGCAGTAAAGTATAGCTGTGAGTAATCGCCATATCTAGTAAAAACACAAATTAACAAATAAAGACCATTTGTGAAAAATATAACATACTTCAAAATGTTTTATAATTCGATTGACAGCCAGAACAAGATAAAATGGATTAACTACGCGTAATCGAGCTGCTACAGGTACAATAATGGAACCTGTAAACCAAGCACGAGTTATTGATGGTATACTTTTATACCATTGACCGAGATCATTCGAAGTTGACATTACTTTTTATTATTTAAATAATCGGTTTGTATGAAGAGGAAATTGAAATGAGATTGACAGGAAAATGATTAGCCAAAGTTGACAAATATAAAAAAAAGATAATGCAATGATTAATTATTCGAATAAAAACCATTCAGAAATTAGCATGTCAATTGTAATATAATCATATGATAACGAAATTGCAAAGATGATTTAAGTAACTGTATAAAATAGGTGTGAAATACATCTGTATGGTGTCTTTATCAAGTATCAACATTTATGGAACGCCATTTATTATTACCGTAAGCTTGAATTAATTGTCGTGTATTTCACTAATCAGATGATTAGTTCTTAAGGAAATCATGTAGCAAGTGTGTCAGAAAGGAGAGGTTCACAAGGAATTAAACTTATCCTAATCTACCTCTTCCTTTGCAGCTTTAAACAGTTTTTATTTCTTTAGTTTCTTTATTCCTTTTACTTGCTTCATTTACTTGAGTTTTTGCTAATTTAAGTCACTTCTGTCGTTTTACAACCAATAGAAAATGTACAAGATGCAGAAGCATTGAAAAGACTAAAGAAAGTAAAGTAGGGATGTCAGCTTAGCATTAGTGTTAGAAAAACGCTAATACTTTTGTATTTAGATTAAAAAGTTAACTTAATGCTTTTGTGTTAGAATTAAAAAATTAATTTAATACTTTGGCATAAGTATTAGAAAAGTATTAGCCTAATGCTAAAGCTATAGTTCCCAAAAAACAGAACCAAATTGTTTTGTTATGGAAAATCTTTCTCCCAAAACAGAAGAATTTCGTCCTGTTTTGGGAATTTTTTTCCGAAAAAAGTACAATTTTGGGAATTATAGGCATTAGCATTAGGCTAATACTTTTCTAATACTTATGCCAAAGTATTAAATTAATTTTTTAATTCTAACACAAGAGTATTAAGTTAAATTCTTAATCCTAATACAAAAGTATTAAAACTTGTATTAAAATACTGCAATGCTTATGCTAAGCGAACAGCCCTAATTGTGCCCTTGTATGGTAAACAGCTATTTTTTTTTGAAAATTGAATATCTCGAGAAAGACGTGTTCGTTCTCGTTGAAACTTTCAGAACTATCTAATGACTGTTAAATCTATCTATAGATAAAATTTCAGCTAAAAATTCTTCATGTTGGTTTCTTCTGAAATGCCTAGCTCACAGTAAAAATTTCAGTGAAACGGTCATAACTCTTCACTAGTAGGCCATGGGCACGAATCTGTTTAGACTTTTTGTTATCTCAATGCACTCTATCGAATGAGGTATGAATGAATCAAAGTAGAGCGGATCACTTGGGGATGTTTTCGCGTAAGGATATTAGGCAAAGGATATAGCGAAATAAAGATTACTCAACTGGAACGAAACAGGTTTCAGGGTCTTATTCACAAATCACTCATAATTTCACCTCAAGCTTTCGATAAGTACATCTTCGTATCAACAAGAAAATGACTGACAAAAGTGAAAAGTTGCACGTACTTATACAAAAGAGGGAAAATATGTAAGAAGAAGGAAAAAAATATTTTCAAATATAGCTGTTTTTCTTACATATTTTTCCGTCTTGTGTATTAATATGTGCAACTTTTCGCTTTTGTGATTCATTCTTTTGTTGGTATCGAATGATATTTATCCAAAGCTCGAGGTGAGACTATAAGAAATTTGTAAATACAATTCAGAAACGTATTTTGTTCTAGTTGGGTAATCTTTATTTAGATATTTATTTTTAACTGCTCAACGAACTAATTTTACACAAAGACTACAGTTTTAAGGATGTAGACACAATATAACAAAGAAAGTCGCAGATCTTCTAACTTGTAAGGATTTTTTGTATAGAAGAAGTATTAATGCTGATGGAATCACGCTTTATTTTGTCTCTTCTTATCAAGAGATACATCATTTGCGTAGAAAGCACATATTTCTATACGCAACCAGAAGAAATAAAAGGAGGAACGGAAGGAAGTGTGGAAAACACAAACAGAACAAAAGTAGAAGATATGAATAACAGGAAGAAAATAATCAGAAAGAAAGGATATAACGATGTTGCTACGCCCCTACATTCAAATTAGACGCACTCCTGGGTGTCTGGGAGCAAGTACAAAGGAAAGAGTCATGATAACCGACATCAGAAAACGAACATCTTCAAGAGAATAAAAAAGTTATGGAAAGAAAGTCACATTCAAAAGAAAATTCGCAGCGTCCATAGACGGATTGACAATAATTATGGGAAATAACAGTCAAGATATCATAAGGCTCATACATTTCAGAAAGATTGCAATTTGCAAATAGCATACATGCCGTAGGACTGAGCAATATTGAGATCAAAAAGTAACACGTGCAGAAAATTAACAATTACAGAATGAAGTTAATAAAGAATATACGTAGGAGTCAAATGATTGCGTTTGTTATATTGTTGTGCTGATGTGTGAATGTTTGGATGACACGTCAGTTGTTTTTAATGTCATCAATTCGGACAGTTGACATTAAGGAGAAGAGTGTTTATTTATGACCTTAGGATACAATTAACCGGATTAATGTTGAAGCAAAATATGATGTTGGGTATTTGTTATCATTCATCAATATTCTTCACGTTATGGTAGGACATATATATATAAACATTCTTTTTTTCTTTTCTCTTATACTTTTTTGTCACGGTGTTCACATAATAAGTGACATATGTGACAACACGTGATATACTTGTCTTTATATTAATTATCTATTCATTAATTTACAAATTCATTATTATATTAAATTATAATACCAAATAAAGAAATGAAGTTGAATAAATATTGGCAACCAACAAAATCAAGTAAAACTAATAAACATGATATTGAACTTACTGTTTTAAAGAAATTAAATGAAGAATATCCTTTAAGAACATCATGTGGTGCTAATGAACAAGGAGAAAAAAGACATCCTACTGAAAATGATCCTAACATCTATAGATCCGGTACAACAAATAGAACTTGAACAAATCAACATATATCTCGTACAATTACCAATTCTTCTCTTACGACGACAACTAAATACAATCATAATGAACTTAGATTGAATAATCCGAATAATCATTCGTATACAAATCAATTAATAAATACCCAGTGAAAAATGTTCACTTCGGAGAATGGAAAAGAACGCGTTCCGTAAAATTAAAAACCCTGTTTTTTTTAAAAGAAAACGCTCCGACAAAAGTAGAAAGCGTTCCAAAATGGAATGCTCAAGAACGCTTCCGCATCCTTTAAGAGTTGTTTTCAATGCTAAAACGAAGTTTCCATTTTTCTGAATGCGTTCTTGATCTTTCCCACTGAAAATGATAGATAATGCGTTCCATTATTCTATGAAAATGTTCTTAGCCATCCTCAAAAAAGAATACTTGCAAAAAAAAACAATTTTCACTTTTTCTGGGCTACTTTCTTTCGAAATCCTATCTCTAAACTTCTCACAAACCCATTCTTTCTGTCTTTGATTGTGTCCTCTTTTTGATTCACTTTTTAAATACCTATCTTGTCATAGATTCGAACGCAGAATCTGATGTTTGCCAGGTGAATATGTTATCCAGGGTGTGGGTGTGGGTGGGTGTGGGTGTGGGTGTGGGTGGGGTGTGGGTGTGGGTGTGGGTGGGTGTGGGTGGGTGTGGGTGTGAGTGTGGGTGTGGGTGTGTGGTGGCTGGGGTGTGGGTATGGGCGTGGGGTGTGGGTGTGGGTGTGGGTGTGGATGTAGGTGCAGATGGCAAGGATACCCACACTCACACCCACCCACACCCATACCCTTAACAAGGGAACTATTACGATAATTTTTACTTATCGAACGTCTTCCAGTTTCAATGAGTAATATACGTATGAAATGAGTATTTTCTCTGATGTACAATTCATTTATTCGTTTTACATCATAGTAATATCTTGCACTTATATGTTACCTATTTTGGTTTATATTTGCTTTATTTTTTCCATGTAGACACTCCATGAGAAAGGAGTGTACATGGCAACAGCAAAGAACACAAAGTTTATGGTCATAAACAAGAAGAGAAAATAAAAATTCATAGCTGCCCTAAGAAATGCATTTTGTAAGAAGTATGCTATGAGTATAAACATTTATGCTCTTTTGCTTAGCATCTGTCACTAGTCTTCTTAAAAAATTAAATAAGATCTGAGTTATCAAATATATTTCTTCTGTCGAATGAAAAATACTAGAACTGCTCTGAAAATACTAAATCTTTTAATGATCAAAAACGTCTCGAATAAAATTTTCTTTTTTCTCTACGGCATACATTAAAACTTAAGTATTTACTTCCTCAGCTTGATCTTTGCCTTGACAGACATAGTTTCACATGTTCTGAAAATTGAAGACGTACCGCCATTCTATATGCCAATATAATGTATCCTCGATTTTCAAAATATACGACTATTCTGCAGCGATGTATTTAGGGGAAGGAATGGGGAGAACAATCCCCCTGGAGAAAAAGTTACATGAAGAGGAGTACAGCTCGCTTATTTTCTATAAGCTAAAAACTTTTTTCCTCATCGTTTTCGCTTTGGTTCTCCACCCTCAAAAAGAATTTCCAAATACATCGCTGTCATTCTTGACTTTCTGCTTGGTTCGCTAAATGAAAGCATTTCTCCTCTCCTGTAATTGCTCGATAATCGAGAAAGAGACGCTTGCACACCAAAAGAAAGGACACGTGTCACAAAAAGATTGGTAAGTTTTATTTTCATTCGTTTCATCAACTTTTTGATTTTATATGACATCATTTTTTCCTTCTTTTGCTCTGATTCATAGAAAATTGTATTCAACTCTTTACATATATATATATAAGATTGTAATACTTTTTTTATTATTATTTTTGCATTTCTTTACCAGTAAAAACACCTAATGAATATCGTCAAGGCGTCCTCATCTGGTCATATCATTGAATTCAATCAAGACACTGGTACTGGTTTTATTGAAGAAGATACAACAAAACAAATTTTATTAGTTCATTTCAATAGTTTCAAACGCCGCTCGAGAAGATACTTAACGGGCGACAACAGATATATTGGTGAATTATTTGATTTTGATATTATTGTCAAAGAAAAAACTGATGACAATGCTACTGATACATTAGAAGCAGTAAATGTTAGACATCGTGTATTGAAATGTAATGTTGAAGGATGTTCACGTATTAAAGCATTTACAAATGTGAAAGCATTGGAAGATCATATTAATATTAGGCATTTATCAAAGAAGAAAGAACTAGAAACATCTCAGCCCTCATCAGTTGTAAAGAAAAAGTCAAATAAAAGACGTCGTCAGCGTCCTCAACCAATTCTAATCACATTAATATATAATGTAACAGATGCTACCATTGGTCGTTTTATTGGTAAACATGGTGATAATCTCAAACGAATACAACAGCAGAATCAAGTCAAACTTCAATTGCTCAACATTCGACAAGCGTATAATCCTTTACAAATTCTCATTAAACCGAATCCAGGTATTAAAATTGATATCAATTTAGTTACTAAAAGCTTAAAATCTGAATGGGAACGCAGTGTACATGAACAACAAGCACATGAACGATTTCGAGTACAACGATCAGAATCAAGTGACTCATCGGAAGAACTAACGTCTTCTCTATTTGATAAGGATTCACGATATAGAGCTGATTCAAAAAATCAGCATGACAAGCAATTAAAACAACGTTTACGACGTCAAACAGAGCCATCAGTAAGAGTTCAAGAATGTCATTCAAGTCTCTATCTAGAAGGACATCGTTCAGTAGCAACATGTGACAGTGTATATAGACAAAAATCGATATTTAATTATTTTCACCCAAAGATAAAGAAAAGTATGAAAGAAAAACAATGGTTGGTGAATGAACAATTACAAGATTTAGAACAATTTTCTGATTAGTTATGATAGACAAAAATTGCACTTTTCTATTGTTTTTTTTATGATCGATTATATTTTAAGAGTATCTAAGTTTTATATTGCATGTAGAAATATTAAAGTAAATAAATATACTTTTAGTTATTAACCATGACCAACAATAATACTATATAAATAGGTGAAAATTAGAAAGAAATAATGGTTCTAATAGAACTTTTGAATGATCCAATACGAGACTCTAGTTAATGGCTACTATTTAAGCGGTCAGTAAAATAAATTAAATGATCAGTAAAATAGATGAAATGGTCAGTAAGATAAATGGTCAGTAAAAAGTATATAAATGATCAGTAAAAAGATTAAATGGTCAGTACTTAGACTATCACTCATATAAAAAAAAAAAGATTGGAAAAAATCTAATTTTAATCGATTTTTTAAATCAAACCAGTGATTAAAATAATTCAAATTTATAAATATTAATTTTAATGGCGGCGACGGTAAAATGCGTTTTCTCAAACTTTATGTTGAAAACTCAGATGTTCGATCGCTTTTTCGGACTCCTTGCCTCGGAAAATTAGTAGATATGATGCTAGATCGACCTTTGACATAAATTCCATGCTTCAAGACTCGATATCAATTGGTACTTATTCATTTAAAAAGAAAAACTATTAGAATTGATTAAAATCGATTTAAAAATTTTAATCGATTTTAATAGATTAAAAATCGAATAATCTGACTAAAATTGAGTGAAATAGTCAATGAAAAAATTTTAATCGGTTAAAATGGATATTTATAAATTTAATTTATTTTAATCACTAGTTTGATTAAAAGCCTGGTTAAAACTGTCCCATTTTAATCGATTTTTAATCACAAAAAAATCGATTAAAATCAGATTTTTTCCAATCTTTTTTTCTATATGAGTGATAATCTAAGTACTGACCATTTAATCTTTTTACTGATCATTTATACATTTTTTACTGACCATTTATCTTACTGATCATTTCATATATTTTACTGACCGCTTAATAATATCCCCTAGTTAATATCCAATCTAGATTCTGAAGAATTTTCTCATATTCACCATCATATTTAATTAAAATTATGAAAACTTGGTAAAATAAAAAAAATAATGTATTCACATACTTGCTTTTATGAATGTAATTTTTCCGCGCTAATAAAATCCTACGAAGTACATAGAATAATATTGTCCACAAAGATCGTTTACATTATAATTTACATCCTAACCGATAGCTGATGTATAATAATCAGTTTAGTTTAGTATGATAACCCTAGAGAAAGTACTGAGTTCAGGGTACCCGTGTACTGAGAAAGCTCTAGCAGGGTACCCAATATGGGTACTTTGAAAATTCTCAGTAATTTTACTGATGTATGTACTGTTTGGGGTACCCGTAAAAGTACATTCACTGAATAAGTACCTGCATGGATACACAAGTCTGTAACTTTACTGAGGAAATCTCGACAGGGTATCCTAAATTTTTCGCGTTCTATGTGGCGACTATTCATTCACCGTTTTCTTTTGTACGTACGGCTCTATATAAACAACTCGATAAATCATAAGAAAATAATCAATTTTCATACTAGTTTTTTCTAAATTATTTCTTGACTATTTCTTAGTCGAGGAAATGCCGAGCTTGGTCGTAAATTAAGATCGGACTACCCTGAAGTGGTCTACGACCAACTCAAGTTGAGTCGGATCCCGACATTGTTCCTGCTAAGTTTTTGGAATTGAAAAAATTAAATTGAATAAAGTAAAAAAAAATCTAGTAAATTATCTCAAGAAAAAGAAAAAGTGTTAAAAAGTCAAAGATCAGGTTCGATCCTGAACATACTGAAAATTTGGTAACAGGGTACTTAGAAATACTATACAATGGTACCCAATTCAGTACTTGATCAGTACCTTTAGGTACCCAATTACTGTGCATTTTCCAGCAGGGTACTTGCCAAAGTACCACTTAGGTACCTGTAAGTACCTGCAAGTACTTTGGTACCCAAAAGTTCCTGTGACATACTGGTATCAGGGTACTTTTTTGGGTACCCTTATCTCAGTATATTCTCTAGGGAATGGACCCCACTGTCATCCATTTCACAAAAAATACATAATAAACTGGCCTCCGATTGCGGTTTTTTTAAAATATAGGAATTCTTAGAGGATCACGTTTGTCTAAAATATAGGATTGTCGATAAAAAAATGACAAAAATATAGGATTTTTTATAGATCGTTTCTGTTCATTTGTTTTGGTGTTTTTTAACTTCTCTTCTCGAATATCGTTTTAATGGAGCTATTGTAAACAGCTCAACCATAATCAAGTTTCTTATGTAATTTCTTGCTACTGAAATAAGTCGCTAATTCGAGGATCATTATAAAGTTTAATTATAAAACTTTTTCATAAATCAATATATTACAATAAAGTATATTATAAACTTTGAAAAAATAAATAGATGAAAAAAAATACTATTTTTCGTAATTAAATTTGACTGACATAAATAAAACTTGATTATAAATAGACAAAAATACTTGAATAATAATCATTAAGTGTTATCTATCAAGTCCATTATATTATGTTGATTCTGTTGGATGGATTTCAGCTTCTTGTTGATTGATTGTTCATGAAAAAAAGCATTTTTTCTTTTTAATCGAACTTTATCGAGTTCATTTGTAAGTTGTTGCTGTTGTTCATTAATTGATGTTAATTTTTCACGACCTCCAGCAATCAAAAGTTTAGCAGCATGTACTTCTGAAAAAACACCACTTGTCAATGCACCTTCTAATCGATTTGTTCCTTCTTCAATCAAATTTTCAGCTTGCTTCATCTGATGTGCAAGAGTTTTTTGTTTGTCCAATAACATCTTTTCTTCTTCAAGATGTTGTTGTTTTTCATTTTGAATCATTTTGTTGTTGTTTTCCTCATTGTTATGAATAGCAATTGCTAATTTGGCAGCAATTAAACCTTCACGATAATTACTGGATGATTTCTTTACCATATTAATCATATCTGTAGTTATAGGTACCTGCAAAATTAAACATGTTGTGGTATAAAAATAAAACATGATTTTATGTTACTTTATGTGCTGATCCACTTCCAAAAAGTTTTACTTTATCATAAACTAATCTTGGACCATTTATTGATGACTCTGATAATGATGATCGATTTTCCCTAAGAATATTCGAGTTAATACTAAAACCTCTCTCAACATCAGCATTACCATGTGTAATAATTAAAACATTTTTTATTAGTTTAGTTAATGTTGGATACTTTGATATACCATTTTTTGTCAAAATTGAAAAGACGTTGTTCCAATAGTAATCAATAGAATGATATTTTATTTGATTATTACCATTTGAATCAACATATTCATCTTTAATATACCAAGACCGATCGACTAGTTCAACTGAATATAATGCCCATTCATTTTCTAACTTATCAATTTCTCTATCATCAAGTAAATTGGGAATAGTTCAAGCTATTCGAATAATTCGATCACCACTTGATCTATCAGTTCTAGATGAATGATCTAATACTTGTAAATCACGTAATAACATATTATTTAAAGGAAGATTTTTCTTCAGATAATTTGCAATTGTAATATAAATCTTTCTAACATCTTGATAAAAAGATTTTTTCTCGTCAAAATTAAGAGATGATATTAACTTTCTTGTTTGTTCACCTATATTAAAGATAACAATGATTAGTCAAAAAAAACTATTAATACAATCGAATCGACCAATTTTTATTTCTTTATCTGTTATCCATAAAGCAGATTGTTCAAAATTAATATTTAACAAATCTTGACCAGATTTTTGCTGAACCGAATCAGATTTCAAGAATGATAATAGAACATTTCGACATAAATCATTAAGTTCAAAATATAATAAGTGGATTAATGGTTCTTCACGTTGGAAGAAGGTCAAAAAACGATCAAAAATATTTTCACATAAATATAGCACAAAGTTAAATTTAACCTTTGATAAACTTGATGATAAGACTATTTTGATGCTTTCATAACGTTTGTTTTCTCAAATTTGTACAGGTTGTTTTTCAGGTAAAAAACAAAGAAAATAATCACATAAAATATTCCATTGATCTAAATAAAATGAAAAATGTAGAAAAGTGAAAAAAAGATCAACATACCTAAAATTCGATCAATAACTTTGCCTAATAAAACCCATCTTGTTATTGAAAAATATAGAATTGCTTTTTCCATAACAGAATCAATATCTTCACTAACATTTTTATAATCTTCTTGTCTTGCTGGAGAACATTTAAACCAAGAATAAAGATCCAAACAAAAACTATCCACATACCACTTAGAAGACAGAATACCATTTTTAAAAGCATTGTGTATGATGTGGATGTTACAGCTTCCAATCGTTAATAAACAACCACCTTGTTTTTTCATTTCCACATCAATTAAATTTTCAAGTGAAATATTAATGTTGGGATTATCCCTTCCTCACATTAAAAGTTTATTTAAATTCAATCCATCAGTAGTAAATGATTCAATAATTATATCACAAATTGTTTTTGTATAAGCATGACCTAATATAACTGATTTATAAAATCGATTAACAGCACATTGTTTTTCATTAGACCAATATCTTAACAACATATCTAATTGTTTTTTGTTTTGATTGTTCGTTTGTTCATCGAATATAAGGACAAACTTATCAGCTTTTTTAACATCTTCGATTAATTTTTTCTTGAAATAAGGACCCAATCCGTGTGATATAACGTAAGACATTTTATCAGCTTGAATACTAAAGTTTCCGACAATTGAAGAATCAGGAAATATTGATGAAAACAATTCATTTAATTCATCACATAATTTATAACTTAGACCTTTTTGAGTAACTTTTAACGACCATAGAATTTCAGCTTTTGTTACTTGACCATCTAATGTTAAAGGTTTATTTTTGTTTGTATTTGTATCTAATACTGGAATACTAGTCAAGGTGAATGTAGATGAATCAGGTGAATCTGATCGTGTTTGATTTGTTACACGAAATTTGGCATTCTGTTTCTATTGACGTAATATTTCTTTATGTTTATTAATATTCATATGTTGTTCTATTGTTCTGCAACCTTGATTACCACAATTTACATCACCTGTTTGACATAAACTGCACTTGAAAGTTGTAGGTGTGTAGCCCTTTTTCAGCCATATGTTTACCGAATCGTTGTTGGAATCAACTCGATGGAGCCAATCTGTATTAAATTGTGTTAACTTTCTTGGAATTATATTTATAAAATCAAAGACGAGGAAGTTAAATATACGACACAATGGATAAACAAATATTTAACCGCTCTTTACTGGAAAAAGAGGGAGTATTTATACAGGGAGAGATAAATTAATGAGCTGGGAAAACAATGGAGAAGCTTCTTCGCCTTTGTTTTAGATAATGAGCAATGAGAAGAATTAAAACAATGATTCTTCTTATTCAGAGAAGACATCGGTTAGAAAAAGTAGGTCAAACAAACAGGAACATATGGAACAATTGAACGGAAAAGAAAACAACAGAACAAGAACATATGTATAACAGCTGAACAGAGAAGAAAAGCAAAAGAACGAGGACATATGTATAACAGCTGGATAGAAAGGAAAAGAAATTAGAGCAATATGCAACAGATGATCTATTAATTATTTTTTTTTTTCATTTTATCTACAATAGTCTGGCATTCGATTACACATTTTCGAAATTATGGGAATTCCCATAAAGGATTTTGTTTTCTGAATTATACGATTGTTTTCACTAAAAAAAGTAAAAAATTGACCACAATATAGGTATTGTAGGTCGAACCGCACCTCAAATGTATGTGCTTTACTTACCAGAAATAGCTATTCACATTACCCGGTTTTTTCGTCAAAGTGATGACCGGCGAGAGGGGTAGCGCCGCGAAGATCCCTATACTCCTCCTCAGGACAAAGTCAAGTTTCGTGAAATTTTTTCACTTTTTTGACAAAATATAGGAAAAATAGGAAAATCAATCGAAATATAGGACAAAATATAGGATTTTTCAAAAAAATAGGACTTATAGGATGAATCGGAGCCCAGATAATAAATCCACCATTATTCTTGTATGCTGTATCGATATTCATTTTCTCTTCGAGGTATGGATATGACCACCCTCACCCTAACAAATCAGGATAGAAGTCTAATAATCTTTATCATAAATGTTATTTTAGTCTCAACATATTTCTAACGTTTCATGGTATCTGGTTGTTTACGGACTGAGATTGATTTTTGAAAAAGTGCTTTAAGTAAAAGTCTGTCTATCGGTAGTTGTCTAATGAAATCTTTTTTCTCGATTGACTCAGCATCGTAATAAAGAATAGGTCATTAAAGTCTTAATTTTCATTGCAAAAGTGAGACGCCAAAAAAA